GGGACGTTATCACTGGGTACCTGGGACCTTACTGTGTGAAGGTTAACTTGGGTACAACTGTTACTGTTGAGTTGTTCTCACTGACTTAAGCACTGTTCACCACTGTTCACCTCTGTTTAACACTGGTTCCATTCCTTTCCTAAATGAAATTGTAACTTCTGGCGAGAACTTGTTGATATTCCGGTGGGGAGGAGGGTTCAGGGGAGGGGGTTGGTATGGGCCAACTTAACAGTTGACCTGGCTGCTCCGAGAGGAGCGCCAGGTACGTCTTGACCCTTCGGTGGTCAAGGATGTAGTGTGTGTGTGTGTGTGTGTGTTATATCACCTCCAAGGCAAGAGTCAAGCTTTTGTCTGAAGATAAGGCTTATTTTTAGACGTTAGCTCGTGACATGTGTACTGTAGACTTGTACGTCTACACTTGCTACAAACAGACTAACAAACGCAGAAAGATACATGCCTAGGGATTCCGGCCCAAGGACGGTGCTTGTAAATTCCCCAAAACTAGTAGCTTAACTTGATCCAAGTGGCAACGACCTGTGTTCTTTTATTACTGTTCATCCGAGAAATTCCATGAACACACACACACGTTGTTACAGCTATTAAGAATGTTTTGTGTCAGGATTGACTGGGAAGAGAGGACTCGGTTATGACCTGACCTGACCTGACCTTACTGGTCAATTAAGTCTACTTATATACTGTAGAGTTGTGACTTGACCTAACTGCTAAATAAAATGCCCAGATATTGGGTTTTGTGTAAAAAAAATTATTTTTCTCATTATTACTTGCATCCATTAATCCTACAATGTTGTTACGATGATTACACCCCCTCCCTGCTGTTTGCTGTTCCAAGCAGTACACCTCCTCCCTTCCTTATGCTGTTCCAGGCAGTACACCCCCTCCCTGCTGTTTGCTGTTCCAGGCAGTACACCTCCTCCCTTCCTTATGCTGTTCCAGGCAGTACACCCCCTCCCTGGTGTTTGCTGTTCCAAGCAGTACACATCCTCCTTCCATATGCTGTTCCAGGCAGTACACCCCTCCCCTGGTGTTTGCTGTTCCAAGCAGTACACCTCCCTTCCGTATGCTGTTCCAGGCAGTACACCCCCTCCCTGCTGTATGCTGTTCCAGGCAATACATCTCCCCTCTGCTGTTTGCTGTTCCAGGCAGTACACCCCCACCCTGCTGTTTGCTGTTCCGGACACTACCCCCCCCCCTACCCCTGCTGTTTGCTGTTCCAGGCAGTCATCCCCTCCGTGCTGTATGGTATTCCAGCCAATACATCTCCTCCCTGCTGTATACTGTTCCAGGCAGTACACCCCCGGACCGTTGCGAGCTGTAGCCTAGACATTGGACCTGAGGGACGCTGCTAGTGGTAGTTGGGACTGACATTAGATCCTCTGCCTGCTGGGGCTGTAGACTCGCTTCTCTGCTTTCATGCAGACTAGTTTCTTTTGCAGTGTTGATTATTGGTAGTCATGGCAGTGACAGTCATAGTGGTGATAGACACTGATAGTCCTAGCAGTGACAGCCATAGCGGTGTCATTGTGGTGACTGTAGGGGTCTCATCATCTTCCACATCATCATAATCATCCTCTGCCTTTCTCCTCCTTATCTTCCTCCTCCTCTCCTTTCCTACTCTACCTATTCCTCCTCCTTCTCCCCCTCCTCCTCTTCGTTGTCGCCTTCTCCTTTCTTATTTAATATTCTAGAGTGCCTCAGCTTCGCTCTTATTGGTATACAAAGTTTACAAGTATAAACTTTTTGTTGACGTTCTTTCATCCTTGTTGTACTTTTGCCGTGAATCCGGAGTTTAAAGGATTCGGTCGTTCACTTTTTCCTCCTCGGATTTTTAAGTGTTCGTACCTTCACATTATTCCTGTGCGTGAGGAGAGAAAGAGGAAATAGTTAGTAAAGGTAGAGTTTATTAATGTCACAGCAATAATAGCACTCGCCATGGGTAAATTGAGAACCCTGGGATATACGGGCCTTGGGATGTAGTGACCCTGGGATGTAGTGGCCTTGGGATGTAGTAGCCCTGGGATGTAGTAGCCCTGGGATGTAGTGACCCTGGGATATACGGGCCTGGGATGTATGTGGCCCTGGGATGTAGTGGTGGGATGGTGGCCTTGGGATGAGGGCTGGGATGTAGTGGCCCTGGGATGTAGTGGCCTGGGATGTAGTGGCCCTGGGATGTAGTGGCCCTGGATGTAGTGGCCCTGGGATGTAGTGGCCCTGGGATGTAGGTGGCCCTTAGTGGATGTAGTGGCCTTGGGATGTGGCCCCCTGGGATGTAGTAGCCCTGGGATGTAGTGGCCTTGGGATGTAGTGGCCCTGGGATGTAGTGGCCTTGGGATGTGGCCTGGGATGTAGTGGCTTGGGATGTAGTGGCCCTGGGATGTAGTGGCCCTGGGATGTAGTGGCCTGGGATGTAGTGGCCTTGGGATGTAGTGTGGCCTGGGATGTAGTGGCCCTGGGATGTAGTGGCCCTGGGATGTAGTGGCCCTGGGATGTAGTGGCCTTGGGATGTAGTGGCCTTGGGATGTATGATGCTAGGGGTGTAAGGGCCGTATTTATAACGCTACATAGTTTGCTCTTGTGATGAGAGCACCCTGGTGTTGTAGGGCCCTTGACACGACCCTGGTTTTGTCGGGCCCTTGAGATGACCTTGACATAATTTAGTTGTGTTCTGCATTGTTGTCTGTTGGGTGATGTGATGCTCTTATTGCGGCACTCTCTCTTTCTCTCTCTCTCTCTCTCTCTCTCTCTCTCTCTCTCTCTGACATACACACACCTACACCTACTTACCTTTCCTCTCCGTCCATTTCAAAAACCTTTAAAAATCTTTCCCTCTTTCTCTTCTCCTCACACACACATTTGCTTTTATCTCTTCCTCTCTTTGACTCCACTATTCCTCTTCTTTATCGTTCAGTAGGAGAGGTTTTCCCGACATCAAGGTGTTATTTATCACGGCACACGCTCGCTGATCTCAACCAAACTGGGTCTCGGGTCGAAGGCTACTGAAAACGTCTCTCCACACTAGCAACTTATACACCGTTCTTGAAGGCCGGATTTGTTTGGATTTTAAGGCGTTGTTGAAGGTGGATTTTGAGGATTTAAAAAGGGGCTGTTGAGGTACGTTTATAGAGATTAAGGGGCTGTTAAAGGGTGGATTTTAAGGATTTAATGGGTTCTTCGGGGATTTCAGGGTTATGTAGTTCTTGAAGTTGGATTTGAGGATTACTAAAGACGGTATTTTAGATTAAGAGCTCACGAAGGAGGATTTCAGGGTTCTTGAAAACGGATTTACAAGTCTGGTCAGGTAAACAAACGTTCTCCTAACCCCACAAGGTTTTTCCAGGAGTCGACCATATACTGACACCCCAAACTACACAATCTGTATTCATATAGTAACAATATACACCGTTTTAAATATACAATAACTTCATAAATACACTTATTTCTCTGTCTGAAATATACAAACAAATTCATATGTATACTCTATATGGCTGAATATGCGTAATATACATAGATATACATTTTATGCCTTACACACGCACACACACACACTCACACAAAGAGCAGTTTATAGTGTAGGATGTGGTAAAAATCTGATCGAATTTTGTTACCACCTCGTAGAAACACACACTTGCCCGTATACCATTTACATAAAAATCCGTATACATACTCGTATATTGTGTCGGTGTATTGCTTGAAAAAACTCACCATACTTTCCGATTTTTTTTATTGTTTGGCTATTAAATACACTTCAGAACATTATCTCATTGTATCTAGTATTTGTTTTGGTTGGTGTTGTTGTTTATGATGATGGAAGTGTTTGAGGTATCGGGGTTGTTATAATATCCACAACACACATTATTGTTTCGCTTAGGGATGAAAACGGTGTATTTATCTTGCGTCTAAAATTGTTTATTTAATATTTAATGAAAGACCAACACAGGTTATTGTAACAAATTAATGTTTAAATTGGCTACTGGAGGTATGATGTGTAGTCAAGCGTCGGTCACGTGGGTTTGACGTCACACAGGTTGAGCGATGACAGGTGTATCTCTCCCTCTCCCTTAGTCTGGATGTTTGGATATTTGTGACCCACCTGCAATTTAGGATAAGCGGGTGGTGATGTGGTTATATTATACTGGTAGGGATTCACACCAGATATCACTCACATATTGCTATTTTAGTGGGGAAGCGAACCCTGACGCCTAGTGCGATAACCACACCGCCATCGCTCTTGTCATGTAAGCGAGTTTATTTGTATTACTTAAATATTTAGATGAATTTATAAGTTGATTCTAGATTGTGGAAACGAATTTATATAAAATTATTAATTCATTTGTTGTGTATAAACTGTATCAAAGTTACGGAATAGATCATAAGATACGTTTTTGTGCAGTTAATGAAACCTAAACGAGATCGCGCATCTAGTTAGGTTAGGTGAGGTTAGGTTAGGTTGGGTTGGGTTGGGTTGGGTTAGGTTAGGTTAGGTTAGGTTAAGAGTTGATGAAGGTTAAGTCAGATTAGGACAGTTTAAATCATGTATTTTATGTTAATCTTAGTCACTGTTTCATTGATCTCTCCGGGTTTGCCCTGTCGACCTCAAGTATCACCTTCAAGTATTATCTTCAAGTATTACCTCCATGTATAGAGGTTTGTTCATAAACACCTTAAAATACATTAGTTCATAAATACATTGGTTCATTCATAAACATTCACTTTGGGTACATTGGTTCATTCATTACCTGTCGTTCATCCATTAGTGTCACATCAGGTAATGGATGGCGTCAGTAGAGCGGTTCATGCCTCAACTATCCTCTTAAGTGTTATTGACTAATCTAGCAGCAGACATTTGTCGTGATTCGTTATTATTGTTGGTGTTAGCCCAGGTTAGGGTGATTGGTTATTATTATTATTTTTATTATTATTATTATTATTATTATAAGCTAAGTACTTGTCCATCACTAACTCGCTGTTCTTCTCCCCTGCAGCACGCCGCGGGCCCTCAGCCGGCACAGCGCGGAGAGAGAAGGCCCTCAGCCCCCGTCCTCCACTCTGGCACCAAGTTCAGACACGGTCTCCTACAGCTGATGATCCATACCATCGACCCGCTGCACGACGGTGAGTCCAGGCCCACTGCTGTCGCTCCTGCTGCTGCTGCTACTACTACTGCTGCTCCTGCTGTTGGCGACGATGGCGGTGATAGTGAGGTCACTTCATGTTCACCGCTGGGTTGGGAGTGGAGAGGAGAGTCAGGAAATTCTTTTGAATGGGAAGGACGGGGAGAGGCTTCCGTCTCCCCCCCCTCCTCCCCCCCCCGGGTCCGTCAATAAGGGGTCTCGTTTCACCCCCAGGGCCATAAAAGATGGCTTCCGTCTCACCACCAGGGCCTCTCAACCCCTGAAGGAGAGTAAATTGTAGAAACTTTGTCTCCAAATTTAAGAAAGGTGATACACATGAGGGACGGAGGTTCTTCAAGAGTGTTTCTCTATTGCTGCTGCTGCATGTTGAGGCTCCTTATTAAGTGTGAATTGTTGCTGTGTTTGGACGGCACTTAATCATTTATGAGTGAATATCAGTATTTAAGGAGGTAGTATAAACATTAGTGTGTTCTGTAGCAGGTAGAACCCTTTCAATCATATCTCTCTTAGTATCCAGATTTCAATTTCAGTTTTACGGGATCTGCATTCACAAAAATGTTCAACGGTACAGTAAGAGCAAAGAATATCAATCTTTTAGCCCCCTCCCCCTCCCCTCCCCCCGCGCCTTAAATTTTGGCCTGTTGTTTATGGTAAGTTTTTCTCGTCAAATTTTCTGGATTTCTTACACGTTATTTATCTTCATATTTACATCCTTCTCTTTTTAATCTGTTTTTTGCACGGTAATTGACATCCTCTGCCACGCCTCCTCCTTCTTCTCCTCCTCCTCCATCTCTCCCACCTCCCCCCCTCCATATCCCTCCAACTTGGGTGTGAGGCTGGATTGTGTGTGTGTGAACTATCTCTTGTGTTTTGTGTGGAGGTCTTATGTCATAAACAGCTGACGGCTCTCACGAGACGATGGTCGACCAGAAGAGATGAACGAAACTGGTCGACTCGGAGGCAGATGAGACCTTGATCGACCAGCCGTGGAAACCATATAAAACAAACCGAGCTGGCGACCTGAAGACTCCCTATTCAGACACAGACAGACGAACGGGCAAATATGTGTGTTAACTGACAGACAGACAGACAAAAGTAAACGTAATGATAATAAAGACAGTGAAGCATAATAACACAAACACATTCGGACATAAACACACACGAAAAAATCAGACAAAAACAAGATAAAACACACACACACACACACACACACACACACACACACACACACACACACACACAATTGTAATCGAGCAAACACCAACAGTTTACATTTGGAGAGTTTGTCAAATAAATGTAGACAAACGTAAACACTAACAAAATGAGACATCAACACGAACAGAAATGTAGATACAATCGTAAATCAGACGAATGCAAACAAACACCAACGAATTTATACATGTAAAGAGACAGACAGACAGACAGACAAAATATTCTTTTAGATTTTCGGATCACCTGAAGATTAGGCACCCCAGTTTTCACCTGTTAATTTTAAACACCCTAATGCTCACCTAACCTAACCTAACCTAAACCCCAGTTAGTGTTTAATCATCAGATGAAATAAGTTTGGATGTCTAAATTTTGGTGATCAATCTTTCTTACACATAGATTAATAAATAGATGTAAACCACCAAAGATAACAAGGTTAATATCGACCAAATTCCTCATTACTCTTTTTCGCTATTTTACAATCTTGTTTTTTCTGTCTTTCACAATAACATCACGACACCCGTCCCTCCTACATTAAACCTTTTAACTATTTCGTAAAATAAAGTGTGATTCTCTGCGTACGCTATATCAACACCCTGGACGTACAACAATTTCAACCTAAAAGCACGATAGTTTATCTCCCCTGTGGACATTGGTAGACTTTCTTGAGTACGATAACTTTCCCTCTTGTGAGATAATTCACTGCCTGACGTACGATAACCTTTCCCCTTAATTGTAATACTGTTGAGTAATTCATTGTTTGGTTTGCGATAAGTTCAGGCCTTGAGTTGGATAACTTAGGATATTGTGGGAGAATTTACTACCATGTATACGATACTTTTTTTTCCCTGGTGTGTTTATATTATTCCCTCACACGATATCTACGTCGCTTTACAGTAATTAGGTTTTAGATTCAATGTCAGCGACCTATGGAACGCGGATAACCCTGGCATCCTTATTTTTTCTCTCTTAATTCGTTAATGAAATTCCTCCAGTTCAATTACGGTGCCCAAAGTATGGCATTCTCTTGCTAATAATCCTTTGAGTGTGGTATCCTAGTTCTCTAAGTACGATAACAAAACCTCAAATGTTTGATAACATTTCGCATACGATAACAGCCACGGGGGGGGGGGGTTGATAAGTCATACACAGACGATAACAGTTACGTATGATAATAGACAATTTCTTATGATAACAATACCTTGCATACAACACAGTTATTCACATACGATAGCAAATTACGCATATAGGATAAGTCACTCACGTACGGTAACAACCAATTGCGTACGATAACTATCACGCATGTGCGATAACAGCCACTTGCTTAAGATAGCCTATAAAGTCGTTTAGTGGAGAAAACTACTATTCTTTTTTTACTAGACTGTATATTACCTTTCACTTACCATCGACGATTTTCATCATTATAAGTTTTTGTCCATATTCTCGTACAGGGTGTGGCCGACGACATTGTACGTCCGCCACCCGTGTTTGTTTTGGAGGCCGAGAGAATATAAATAAGATCATGTTAGGTTACGCTGAAAGGGGGAAGAGGCCAAAAGACTCTAAGAACGCACAGATCACTCCCACACACGAGGTCACGCCCACACACGAGGTCACGCCCACACACGAGGTCACGCCCACACACGAGGTCTTAAGAGAGAAAAGAACCGGTGAAGAAAATGAGGATTGTAAAGGGAAAGGTGAGAAGGAAAGAGGAGGAATGTGAATTATACAGCGAAAGAAGAAATAAAGAGTAAGAAGAAGGAGGAGAAGAAAAAAAGGAAAATACCAGAGTGAGAGAAGAGAGTGATAAAGGAGTAGGTGTGTGAAAGGTGGAGTAGAGGGAGAGAGGGAAGACCTAACCTAACCAAACCAAATGTGGCCTCGTGTGCTTGGGTCACGTCAGTACAGTACTCACTAATATTAACGTTTATCATTCTTATATTGTTTATTTTCCTTTTATCATTGTCTAGGATTTTTTTTTTTTTGGGGGGGGAGGGGAACATTTATCTGTGTTGGTTCACGTGATCATAATAATGGAGTGCGCTGGTGTTCACTTGTCCTTCTCTCTTGTAGTGGAGAAAAAGTTCTTCCTTTTGTGTTTTGAGATCATTGTCTTGTTCCTATAATCTTCGACATTGGGTATTGTTTTTGTTTTTACTAACTTAAACTTGTGTTTGTTTGACATCGTAGAAACAGGTATTATAATAATGTGAGACAAGAAGAGTGTGTGTGTGTACCGTGAGGGAAGGGAAGGTTGTGTCTGTGAAGCTCCTGAAGTAACACCCAGATGCTCATGATATTGTTATTACTAGGGTGAAGTACTGAACTGTTTGTAGAGTAGGGTCGGGTTATATCGCGAGATAGGGTCCAACGATGTTCCCTATATACTAAATCGCGATATATAATTACATGTAATCAATGGGGAAAATGGGGTTTGGTTCTGGAGACCAATAAAAATAACTAGACTTGACTTAACGAGTTTATTTTCTTACTAACTAGAGCACCAATGAACACTAGACTTGGGAACAACAGTCAGTTTCGATGTCAGTATCAATATGAAGGAACACCAGACTCGGGAGCTGATGCTGCCGAGTCTGTAGCCTTGTAGCCCTCTCCACATCAGGATCGTTGTCCCTAACACACTTGACGACAGAACATATTAATGACATAATTTCCTTAAGCACTGTTATTCTGTCCTTACTGACCTTAAATCCTGGAGCTTTGGCTTCTGTTTTCATTAAATACGTCTTCTTTGGCACTTTTTTTCCAAATTAGTCCGGTCTCGTCACAATTTCAGATTTGGTCTGGAGTATAGACACCTTCCTCAACCACTTTTTTCCAATCTCTCTTAACTTTTTCCACTGCAGCTGTGTCTGCCGATGCAGCTTCCCCTGACAGAGACACGCAGCGTAATTCAGCTCTTTTGATGAATCTGTGAAGCCAGCCTTGGCTAGCTGTGAATTTACTTTCCTTTGCTGGCTGTCCTTCTCGCTGAAGCAGACGTGTCTGTATTTCTATCGCCTCATTCCTTATCATTAGACCTGACAAAGCAACTTTACGGCGTTGCACGTTTTCAATCCTTACCTTGAGTGCGTCTTCCATTTCTTGGTAAAGTGGTGGTCGTAAGTGTTGAGTAGTATTGGAAACTGTTGGTGCAGCAAATGCTGCACGAATCTTGTCTGCCTTTTGTCTGATGCCACGAATGGTGCTTTCGTTAACTCCATAGCGGTGTGTGACAACAGAAGCACTTGCTCCATGTTCAAGCCCGTCCAAAATCCTCACCTTATCACCAATATTGAAGGTTTTCCTCTTCTTTTTCTCACTTGAACTAGGAGTGGTACTAGTACTATTAGTATGCTTAAGCATCTTGGTACACTACACAGTAGTAGAGCACGTGGTGACCTTGATTGGAGAGTGAGAGTCAAGTGTCTACTGTACATGCGGTGTGTGGTGAGAGCCGAATCAAGACTGAAGCTGAGCGGGCGTCCACGGGCAACATGAAGGCTTGGGTTAGCGTGGGTAAGCGGTCATGTGGCACCTTTGTTTGCCCTGGCGAAAATTTTTAAATATTTCCTGCCCGATTTCCCTCGCGAAATTAAAAAGTTTATCACTATATATAGGAAAATGTAGATAATTTTGGTAGCTGCGATATAAAAAATCGTTATAAAGTCGCGATATATCCCGACCCTGTTGAGGTGGGTTGAGTACCACATATTTTACTGTATGACAATCATCATACGATGACTAAGTGTTGGTAATTTTTTCATG